GGCCAGGAGCTGAGTCTCGACCCCTGCAACCACAATTAGGTGAGTACAATTAGGTGAGTACACTCTAGAAGAGGTGAAGCTATTGAACGAAGATACTGAAAGCATTTATCTCTCCATGGGTTCTGAAAGGAGCAGAAGCAGTGAACCACTAACCAAAATCTTCAAGTCAGTTGTTACAATGCAGCTGCCAGAGGTCTGGAAAACAACGAATGTAGTTCCACTGTTTTTAAAAAAATCTGACAAACAGGTAGCAATAAAGTACTGGTCAGTGTCACTGACGTGCATAGTATGTAAGGTTATGGAGAAGATTGTCAGGAGAAGAGTGGTGGAGCACCGGGAAAGGTCAGAATTCATAAACAACAGATAACACCACTTTAGAAATGGTAATTTCTATGTCTCTTAAACCTCCTGGATTCTGACAAAGTAACAGATGAGGCAGGAGAGAGAGGGAAGGATCCACTGCATTTTTTGAACTATAAGAAGTCTTTTTGCTGCAGTACCACACAAGAGACTAGGGAAAAAACTAGAGTAGCAGCAGGAATAACAGGGAGGACACTTCAGTGAATTATGGAATGCCGAAGAGGAGAGAAACAAAATGTGATTGTCCACTAAAAGGTGTAAGAATGTGACAAGTATGCTCCACAAACACCAGTATTGGAAGATAGTAAGCTTCGTTGCTCAGTTGTACAGCGCTGAACCTGCACCTGGATCTGTGTTTCAGTTCCCTGAATTGAGCCTGAATACCTTCCACCCCCTCCCCCCACGTGCACTGTTTAATCCTACGGGTTTAGCGCTCCCCCATGATTATAATAGTTGCTACATGCTAGGACCACGGTTCGAGTCCCCGTCCATTCCGTTTATTCAATGACAGTCGTTTCTTACAATTTATCTTGAGTTTGTCTCACTGTTTTGTTTCATGGCGCTTTTAAATTTTATTGTAGACGATTCCAAGCTTGTACACTTAAACTTATCGCTCTCCTACAACAGTTGCCCGGCTTTATCGTACGCTACTAACTGCCTTGTTGATGTGCATTCTGCAGGCGTAATTGTTTCTGTAGATGAATAGGAAAAATTCTAGATATCTTCCCGATGTACGTGTAACCACATTCTCCTCAAGGAATGCTGTAAAGCCGTACGTCCTTGGGCCCAGTGTGTGATTCAGAGGTTCTCGTAAAATCTCTTATGGTTTTGGTGATAGTTAAGGCGATGTCTGTGTTGTATATATGTAGAATAGCAGATACTGTGTTGGCTGTGTGCCCTAATGGAAGTACATACCTCTTAATGGTGCTGACTTAGCTCCTGGCATCGCAGGATTTCATGTCTGCTTTATATTTGCAATGGAAGATCACGTGTTAGTCAAGTGGTGTACCCAAGATAGGTGGTGTGAGTGGTGTTAGTCAAGTGGTGACTCCACAGAATCTGGCCTTTGCTTCATTACACAATCCAGGTAACTGCTCCAGCCAACCCACCTGTGGCATGCAAAGAGTACGTAACCTTTATTCGGCGCATGGACACACCCTCATTTACAGGCTATCTCCCCCAACCAGCGAACCAGGTTGCTAAGAGTTGGTGATGGGGCCCCATCGTTCAACTAGTGACCAGGTTCTAGCCAATAAGAAGGTGGGATTGGCAATCGCAGAGGTTATGTGGATACCGCTCTCCTGTCTGCCCTTGTCATTCCCATTCTAGAGCTGGTTGAGCACGGTCTGCTATCTTGTGGCTTCTATTTCTGCCTTGCTTACCGTGACGTGCACTATACTTATTACTGTACATAGTGTACATATTGCTGTTCTAAATTGGTGAAGGATAATATAAGTCTAAACTTTTTCTGCTGTGTTTCTTTTGCTCCCATTACACCTGGGATAACAGGCCTTTGAAATCCTAGGTTGTAATACCACCCTCACTCTAAAGCTTCATATAGCGTAATACACCTCGATGATCAGACTATATCTAGATTGGTCAGCTGCTAAATAACTGGTTGGCCGTGCTTGCCGTTGACCGACATGACTTTCAGGATTGTTTTGTATAGCATGTTTCGAATGCACAACGAATACCCCATAACAGAAACCTAAACAAACAGAAGTGCCAGAGCGGTTTTAAACGATAATGAAAACCCACCTGAATTTTCCTGAAATCCTAAACCTGTAGTCCAGCTTTTTTTTCCAGGGGGAGGGGGGCGAAAAACTTTTTTTCCAAAAGTGGAAAAACTGGCGTGATGGAACTATTTGTTTTTTAGTTCCTTCCCACAAGCGTGAAAAAGTTCTGTACATATATAGGCGAAAGCCAGTTTTCAGGATACAAGCCACGCTGAAGTATGATAACAGCTCCTACCTTGTAAATTACAACGTTGTGAGTCCAACGAGGAATAAAAATTAAAACTTGCCTCGTTTATCAGTAATTTATTCACGGGTTAATAGGGAAATAATATCATAGCCAAACTTGTTATTTTGCACTTATACTAAGATTTATTTTCTCTAGTACAGGAAAGCATTTTAACAGAACTTTTACCCCTTAAGATGTTCTGAAGTTGTAGGCATATAGCAGTGGTGACGTTGTAGACATATAGCAGTGGTGACGTTGTAGACATATAGCAGTGGTGACGTTGTAGACATATAGCAGTGACGTTGTAGACATATAGCAGTGATGAAGTTGTAGACATATAGCAGTGAAGTTGTAGACATATAGAAATGGTAAAGTTCTAGACATATAACAGTGGTGACGTTGTAGACATATACCCCTCAAGGAAGGTTCCTTGATGTTAGTGAGGGGCTCTTAATTTAGGGAATTGGATCTGTGCTCCAGTTCCCTGAATTAAGCCTGAATGCCTTCCACATCCCCCCCAGGAGCTGTATAATCCTCCGGGTTTAGCGCTTCCCCCTTGATTATAATAATAATAATGTAGACATATAGCAGTGGTAAAGTTGTAGACAGAGCAGTGGTAGAATTGTAGACATTGCAATGGTAAAGTTGTAGACATACAACAGTGGTAAAGTTGTATACATATAGCAGTGGTGAGTATATTTTGAACAGTGGTAAAGTTGTATACATATAGCAGTGGTGAGTATATTTTGTGTCTGCTGTGTTGACATGGTCTCACTCATTGATAAGTCAAAACAAAATTCATCACGAATAATTTATTTTTGGTTACAGGAGTCTTTTTGTTCCTGAGAATTAAAAGATTATTTTCCTGGTTACTTTCACAGTAATCCAGAGACTATTTATTCTTTTGTTTATAATGGTCTCTTTATTCAGTTACCTTAGTACCCGGCTTTTATTTCTGTATATTTTATAATGTGTGGTGTTGACGGTGAAAGGTGGTAGTAGTGGTTGCTCCTGTGGGTGATATTGTAGATGCTGTTGTGTCAACTGGCGGTGGTGGTGACGGTTAATGGGGGTGTAGTTGGCCGTGTATCCAGCAGGTGGTGCTGTAGGTGCTTACTTCTCCTTCAGATGATGGTGGTGATAGCTGGTAGTGTTTATGTTTCTGGTCCTTGTTGGTAGCTATTTTTATAGTTGAAGGTGGTGACGTTTTATGTTGGTGGTGGTGAAGCCTCATGCTGATGTTGGAGGGGACAAGTGATGGTGAAGGTTGGAAGGGACATATGATGGTGAAGGTCTATAACTAGTGTTGGAGGTTGTGTTGGTGACTCATGCTAGTGTTGGAGGAGACAAATGATGGTTACTTATGGCGAGGGTCAGGGTTAACAGCTACTCTGCTGGTACTTCTGCTACTACTTGTCCAGGTATTGCTGTACCGTCCTGCAGTCTGTAATGAAAAAATTACGCATTACAACACATTACATGGAGGTATAAATGACATAAACTAATTCACTCGAGGAGGTTGAAGACAATTTTGCTGTTTCATCATAAGAAAAAGCTCCAGTTCCTTGAATCAAAACCCTCAGTGAACATTAATGAGTCAAAGTTTTTATTAAGGGATGAGGAAGTGTGAAAGTTGAGAAAGAAAAAAAAAATTAATACTTACACTATGACAGGCTTGACCACGATGTCATTTTGAAGGACATTTTGGCTGCTGCCGCCAGCACCACCAGCAGCGTTGGCACCACCATAACCATCCCAGCCACCACCATTACCATCCCAGCCACCACCACGCCTGTGGCCATGGTGGCCATGCCCGTGATGAGGATCTTGTTCGTTGCAGACCAGAAAAAAATTAATGTACATTATATATATATATATATATATATTTATATATAATATATATATATATGTGTGTGTGAGTGTGTGTGTGTGTGTGTGTGTGTGTGTGTGTGTGTGTCATTGTAATTTAATAAGTCATAATTTTCGGTTTATCACTCCAGATGGCCGGTGCTTATTAAAAGAAAAAAACAGCTGGTTTAACCGCCAATATGTCAGACACAGCTGATCAAGTCACGTGTCTGCAATAATATATGTGTCATGATAAATCTGTTAAAACGTGTGTGGTTCACTGAAATACCTGGATCAGAGAGAGCGTGGTGGACCAGGAGACACAGCCCAACCATCACCGCCATGACTCCTACAGAGAGACTCATCAGATACTTCACAACATAATTTAAGAAATAGAAAATATATCATTGATAATTATACTAAGTGATATTTTTTACAATTTTAAACAGAAAGAACAATACGTGTAAAAAATTTATGAAATGAGAAATGTATGTATGAGTCTCATTAGACAGTCAATATCAATCAATTCATAAAAAATAATAAAATAATAAGTAATTTAAATTATATTTTCCTCCAGTTATTACACAAAAACGATATGAAGAAAGTAAATTGAAGTTAAAAGAGTCTAACCAAAAGAATTATAGATAATTGAGTGACATATCTTCCCAGTTATCAGTTTAGAGTGTAAGTGGTGAGTGTAACTGGCGAGTGTAACTGCTGAGTACAACTGGCGAGTGTAAGTGGTGAGTGTAACTGGTGAGTGTAACTGCTGGGTACAACTGGCGAGTGTAAGTGGTGAGTGTAACTGGCGAGTGTAACTGCTGAGTACAACTGGCGAGTGTAAGTGGTGAGTGTAACTGGTGAGTGTAACTGCTGGGTACAACTGGCGAGTGTAAGTGGTGAGTGTAACTGGCGAGTGTAACTGCTGAGTACAACTGGCGAGTGTAAGTGGTGAGTGTAACTGGTGAGTGTAACTGCTGAATACAACTGGCGAGTGTAACTGCTGAGTACAACTGGCGAGTGTAAGTGGTGAGTGTAACTGGTGAGTATAACTAGTGTGGATAACTTGTGAGTATAACTGGTGAGCGTAACTGACGAGTGTAACTAGTTAGTGTAAGTGGTTAGTGCAACTAGCGATTGTAACTAGTGAGGGCAGTACTTACTGAGGCTGTAGAGACGCATCTTTGATCAAGAACGATGTGTGTGTGTGTGTGTGTGGACTCTGGTGCTAAGCTTTTATTGTACCCAGTGTGTGTGTGTGTGTGTGTGTGTGTGTGTGTGTGTGTGTGTGTGTGTGTGTGTGTGTGTGTGTGCGTGTGTGTGGAGGAACGTGATCTCAACGAAAATACACACAGACACACACAGGCTAAAACTCTTGGAGTAGGGAGAGAGTTGATCTGGTGTCGACTAGTGAAGAGGCGGGGCTAGAAGCTGTGAATCGACCCTCTGCAACCACAAATAGGTGAGTATACACACACTCCAGATTCCAGGCAACCATGCCTCTTTCCTTTTTAATGACCTCCTCTTTCACAAGATGTTTATATTTATGTTTATCACCCGGTAGGTTACAAGACAAATGGCGCAAGTTGACATGTGGTGAGAAACGATACAATGGCAAACATTTCGCTCATGGAGAGGCTTCTTCAGTCATTTCAGTGGGATGTACATCGAGCAAATTTATAGAAGTGTAGTCAGGTAAGTGGTTAGGGCAGCAAGGTCACTGTACGAGTGAAATGCAAGACGGGAGTACTGTGGGTCATCTACCACTGTTTCCCCTGACCTGTTTATGTAAGATAAAGTGTGCTACAAGTTTAACTAGACTGAATGATCCTTGATTCTGATGGATTGTATTTTGTGTTTGTATTATTGCATCTTCCAGGCAGCTTCCTCGTGTTTTGTCCATTTCTGATATGACCAGCTGGGTATCCCTGTGTATCATACACTTGCTCGTGTTGCCGATATTCTATATCATTGATGTAATAAAATGTTCCTCATTTCACCCAAGTACAGCATATTAAATTTTTATCCAGTGTATAATATCTTTGACGACAAGCCGGAATAAATTAGTATATTGTTGTATATTACATTTCCTGAATTTAGACACAACTCTCGCCCACTTAATTCCCAGTGTGTCTGCTCATTAAAAAAATATTTATTTTTCATATTTGAGCGTCACGTTCCATTTAAATTCAAGCAAACTTTGCTGCCTGGTCATTTTTTTTTGGTTGCTTGAGTTTGTAACCTGGATATTAAGGTTATTATATAAACCAGTGTTAGGATGACGATTTTATTATCAACCTAACTCATTATACTGTTTATTAGTTTTCCTAATGAGCCTCCATCATCAACTTCGATCATCAATCACTACCATCAACTGCAATTATCAAACACTATCGCCAAGTACAATCATCAACAATTATCATCAGCTACACTTATCAGTCACTATCATCAACTACAATTATCAGCCAATATCATCAACTACAATTATTAAACACGACCATCAACTACAATCAACATCCACTATCATCAGTCACAATCATAAACCACACTAATGGTCAAAGAAAAAAAATGAGTTAATTGATGATGGCTTAACTGACCCTTGAGTTCAAAAAATGAACTTTGTAAATTCCTCAGGTAAGTTCCCGATTAGTCAAGCTGTGGTGCTTATGTTGAAGTGCGTACTGCTGGCAGCAACAATCTACTTGACCAGGCAGTGATCTAAAAGGTCTGGCTTGAGATCTGTGTGTCCATCTCATGTAGTTTCAGCTTGATTCCAGGTTTGTTAAGTGAGATTTTTCTTTCACTGGGATTATGGAATTGCGTAGAGGCCGTAGACACAACTGCTTCAACTAACATCGTTATAAAACAAGAGGCAAACGTGATGCGGAAAAAAACTGTTTTAAACATACATTCCAAACACTGACGTATCGACTCTGACGCCATTACTTGCTGACTATATACAAGAGAAAAACTCCATTACTCAATAACCCCATTTACATAACTATGATGTCAGTTGTTATGGCAACTATTATGGTGTCATTGGTGCCATATATATATATATAATATATAATATATATATATATATATATATAATATATATATTATATTATATATATATATATATATATATATATATTGTATTTGTAAGAGAAGTAAATGCGAGGGTCTTGGCAAGAGGCGTGGAGTTAAAAGGTAAAGAATCACACATAAAGTGGGAGTTGTCACAGTTGCTCTTTGCTGATGACACTGTGCTCTTGGGAGATTCTGAAGAGAAGCTGCAGAGATTGGTGGATGAATTTGGTAGGGTGTGCAAAAGAAGAAAATTAAAAGTGAATACAGGAAAGAGTAAGGTAATGAGGATAACAAAAAGAATAGGCGATGAAAGATTGGATATCAGATTGGAGGGAGAGAGTATGGAAGAGGTGAATGTATTCAGATATTTGGGAGTGGACGTGTCAGCGGATGGGTCTATGAAAGATGAGGTGAATCATAGAATTGATGAGGGGAAAAGAGTGAGTGGTGCACTTAGGAGTCTGTGGAGACAAAGAACTTTGTCCTTGGAGGCAAAGAGGGGAATGTATGAGAGTATAGTTTTACCAACGCTCTTATATGGGTGTGAAGCATGGGTGATAAATGTTGCAGCGAGGAGAAGTTTGGAGGCAGTGGAGATGTCATGTCTGAGGGCAATGTGTGGTGTGAATATAATGCAGAGAATTCGTAGTTTGGAAGTTAGGAGGAGGTGCGGGATTACCAAAACTGTTGTCCAGAGGGCTGAGGAAGGGTTGTTGAGGTGGTTCGGACATGTAGAGAGAATGGAGCGAAACAGAGTAACTTCAAGAGTGTATCAGTCTGTAGTGGAAGGAAGGCGGGGTAGGGGTCAGCCTAGGAAAGGTTGGAGGGAGGGGGTAAAGGAGGTTTTGTGTGCGAGGAGCTTGGACTTCCAGCAGGCATGCGTGAGCGTGTTTGATAGGAGTGAATGGAGACAAATGGTTTTTAATACTTGACGTGCTGTTGGAGTGTGAGCAAAGTAACATTTATGAAGGGGTTCAGGGAAACCGGCAGGCCGGACTTGAGTCCTGGAGATGGGAAGTACAGTGCCTGCACTCTAAAGGAGGGGTGTTTATATTGCAGTTTAAAAACTGTAGTGTAAAGCACCCTTCTGGCAAGACAGTGATGGAGTGAATGATGGTGAAAGTTTTTCTTTTTCGGGCCACCCTGCCTTGGTGGGAATCGGCCAGTGTGATAATAATAATAAAATATATAATTATATTATATATATATATATATATATATAATATATATATATATATATATATATATATATGTGTGTGTGTGTGTGTGTGTGTGTGTGTGTGTGTGTGTGTGTGTGTGTGTGTGTGTGTGTGTGTGTGTGTGTGTGTGTGTATAAAATATAGGGAGGTACCACCTCTAGAACTGTTATAGGGACCCTCATCCTCAGATAAGAGAATAAACTTGCTTCAGGGAAAACTCAAGGTTCTCCCAGAAGCTGTTTGAGAATTTTCTCCTACCACCCCCTATATTTTATAGATATTTTATTTAAAGACAAAATACATTGACAAAACATTCACAAAAATACGATAGAAAGTAAAACAACATAAGTAACTCAGAGCTACATCTCGAATACTTCGTCCAGCTCCCCGGCGGTGCACCGCATGCCCAGAATGCTGCAGGCATTTCCTCTCTGGATCGCAACACTGAGTCTCTGAAAGAGGAAGCTGGTCGCTCTGTGGTCCTTGGTTTCTATGATGAGCTTTTCACCCAACTCTATTAGGATCTTTAGAGCACACTTGCCCCATGCTCCAAGGGTCTCCGACCCTATTGGGATGAAGTTATAGCAAGGGGGAAGGTCTTCATATTTGCGGATCTTCTGGGTCTCCCTGTGGCTGGCAGCTCCACCCCCTTCCACTACGGAGTATGGCAAGTAGGTGTCTGCCAATGTGGCGGCACATGTGTAGTCCCAGGCAATCTGCTTTCCATCCTTCCAAGGTAGCATAGTGGCTCCATCAGGACGCTTTTGACTTCCGTCAGACCTCTGCACTTGGGGTTCCCGTTGAGCTGGGCAACGGGCTGTGGCGAGGCTTCTCTTTATGATGTCATTGACCTCCTCATGCCTGGCATACTTCCCTTCTGGTGTGTGACACACGAGACCATGAAGTCAGAATTGATCAGCTGTCGCCCTGCCGCAAATACACCTATGTTCGGTGAGGATGGGGGCGGCTAGGCGAAGAGCAATACCAATCCGAATGGCCTGTGGGTCTAATCGAGTGCCCAAGGAGGAATTGGGAACAGCTAACAGGAAATCTCCTGAGTGTGGTGCCTTCACTGCCAGGAGACGAGCTTCGTCCTTTCCTGAGACGTTGGAGAGCATTGTGTTGGCGATTTTTTCCATGATCGGTTTGTCCCAGTGGGACTGTTTGTGCTCTTTGGGAGGAGCTGGTCTACTGGAGGAATCTGTAAGGGTGTCCCACCGAATCGCTGCTTCAGTGAACCTGGGGTCTTGAGCTCCTACCACGTCTCTCAAGCGTTCGGGAACAATCTTCTTGACTAATGCACCTGAAGCCAAACACGAAGACAGAAAAGCAGGTAAAGCAACATGTGTTGCTTTGCGCACCCCTATACCTCCCAGTCGTACTGGGAGGGTTGCCTGATCCCATTGCTGATCCTCTAGTGACAGGTTCAGTGCCTTCTTAAGGGTTGACCTCAGGTGTGTGTCATATTCGTCTAGTGTTGGGTTGTCAAAAGAGGGTGCACACCTCAGGAAGTAATATTAAGGCACCTTGTGAGGAGATACAGAGCATCATGGGCATCAAGATTGCTTATTCTCTCCTCCATTCTCGTCAGGTCATTCAATTTGTCCTTGAGGACTGTGTCGATGGCCTGGTGACCCAGCGGTGCTCCCAAGAGGGTACTGTTGGACGGAGTGGTAGTAGAGACTTCTGGGAGGATTCTTCGCACAACATTGATTATTTCCTGGTTCGTTGTGATGATTTCACACTTGGAGGGATTGAGGATGAGTCCCAAGTCTATTTATTTATTTATTTATTTATTTATTTATTTTTATTTATAGTGTGTATAATACGCAGGTGACACTTATTGACATTGCATATGGGGAACACTAGCGAAACGTGTTGGTAAATGGGATAAAAAGTTGATCGTGTCGAGTTGAGTGTGTGTGTTGTGGAGTGGAAGTTAAGTGGATGTTCCTTATTCTGATGGTATGAGGCGGATGATGGTGCTAGCCAGGTGTCTGAGTGACTCATGTGACAAGTGTATCGAGCCTCGAGATGTGTTGGAGGGACTGAGATGACTGGTATATCAAGACTAATTGATGAATAATATTGTCGGTTAATTGTGGTCAATATAATTTTTCTCTCACACACACACGCCGCACACACACACACACACACACACACACACACACACACACACACACACACACACACACACACACACACACACACACACACACACACACACACACACAACTATGATACACAAAACACGGGACGGGTGATCATTCCCTCACCCCCTATGCCTAAAAGATAAGTTAGAAATGGGATGAATTTTTTTTTCCCCAGCGTGACCTGGTCGGGGTACAAACCAGTAGACAACAAAATTTTTTCATAAAAAAACTCAAAAAGGATGCTGGGGCCACACTCTCACGGGGGACACGG